TATATTTATACTGATTGTCCATTGACCTGATTCGGCCCATCACGGAATTAGGAATAGGCCATTATGCCCGGTCTCTACACATATAAGCACATACCTTAATTCGATGCTTTAAAACTCAAAATATCGAAACTTTATTAGATCACTTTAAACGAGTTTAACCGAAATTGATAGCTTTTAATGTAATACACAATATTTCATATATAAACCTACATGTTCAATTAAAAAATCCTTACACACCAAACATCGGCACACCCACATAACTTGATGACAATGCCAACGGTTGTAATGATTGGAATGATGGATTGACGTCATTGGTGCTGCTATTCTTAACAGTGGCACCCCTAGAGTTGTTATTACTTGTTAATTTGGTTTTTTTACTATTCATCCTTTTCCTTTTCACTTTATTAGAAGTAAAAATCCCAGTTGATTGTGGTCCGTATGACTGTTAACTGAGTGTTGCAGATGTGAAGTTCTTATTATTCTTAAATGCCCACTACTGCACCACTACCTCAACACATTGGTGGTGGTGGCGGAAAAAAATAAGAGATGAAAAATTGAATTTGGAGTGATGAGTTGTGCTAAGTGTATCTATAGAGGGGTCCATAATAGACATCTTGCGCCTCCTATTGGTGGGGTGCCTGATAGGTACCCATAGCATTTTCCTTGGAGTGAGTGGTGATATTTGGATCCGTTCCTAAGGCGGTGGTGGGTAGAAGTTTGTTGCTAGTGTTGGGTTTTCTGTACCTAATTTGTTTAGTTATTGTTGGCTTGTTTGCAACCACTACAAGCATGGGGCACTGCTGCATGTGGCAATATTAAAAAATAAAGCAATTTGGGGTAGGACCACATGGGGTGTTGGGAAAGATGCATTTTTTCCTTTTTTTTTTTTTTAATTTGTTTTTTATTCTTTGGTTAAGACTCATTTGTGTAAGATTTGGGATTCTAACTGCAACTGTTTCTTAATTTTCTTCATTTTTTTTAATTTAAAGATGAGGGTAAATTTTTTTTTTTACATTGTTGACTTGTCTGCAACCATGGTAGGCATAGTGGCGCCGGTATAAGTGTGGCAATATTCAAAAACAAAGCAATTTGGGGTGGGAAATGCCGGGGGTGTTGGGAAAGATGATTTTTTTTTTGCCTTTTCTCAATATATTTTTATTTTTTTTAGTTAGACTCATTTGTGTATTTAGAAAAGATTTGAGATTTTGACTGTAATTGTTTCTTATTTTTTCTTTTTTTTAAAGATAAGGGCAAATTCTTTTTTTTACGGGCTTTATAGAAAAAAGAACGAAAAGGTTGTATTCCACAAATTTTGGATGATTTAGGGAGGCTTTGCACTAAAAATAAGTCAAGATGTTTTGCATCAAAATGAAAAGTTAGGTGGTATTGTGCAAAACAGGTAAGTTTAAGAGGTATTGCACCAATTATCCTTATATTATTGAATAATGCTACTTATTATCAGTGGTTTTAGAGCATCAGTTTATATTACAGTATGTGATAGGTTCAATTAAAGGTGAAATTNTTATATTACAGTATGTGATAGGTTCAATTAAAGGTGAAATTATGCGATTTATTTAATTGTACATTTCATTTAACAACCCTCAGTGCCATTAAAATTGGTGAAACATCTATAATACTAAATAGCGTTACTCTATATTATTGGTTATCTTTACTGTTTTTAACGCCTAAATTAACGAAATTGGACAGTAAAGGATCTTCTGCATGGAAAATGTCATCCATGGGGTATTTTGTCAAAATGAAAGGATAGGGGTATTCCGTAATAGAGGCAAATGTCATATGGCGAATTACCCAAAGGGTAAACCATTATTTATTAATCGTAGTTTGAAGTTGTTAAATTTTACACATTTAAGTATTCTATATATATATATATTTTTTTTTCTATGCATTCCCTTAAATGATATTTGCTGGATAAATTCATAAATTATCGTATGAAAATTAAAATTCAGCTAAGTCATTGAGAGCTTTGCTCTCTTTTCTTTCATCTATTCTTCAAATTCTTAGTACGAAATCTCGTCAATGCTTGTTCTTGCCTTTTTCCTATTTTCATAACATTTCTTTTACTTTTCTAGTATAGTTACTAGACTCAATTCACTTAGACCTTGTCAAAATTATTACTGGTTCAATAGTTCAACTTGTGGATCATTAAATCTTCTTTTGTTATTATAAATTTTGTACAAAGTTAGATACTTTGATATATTTGGAAGACAAGTGCCCAGAAATTTGAAGTGTATCTAGTTTTTATATGGACCACGCAATGATTTTACTGATAGTTTCAAGTACTTAGATACTGATTTTTCAAATTGGATATCGGATTTACCCACTAAATACCGAATTTGCAGCTTAGATATCGTATATGCAGAATAGATACCGAATTTGCAGTTTGAATACTGATAGGTTCAATTAAAGGTGAAATTGTGCGATTTATTTAATTGTACATTTCATTTAACAACCCTCAGTGCCATTAAAATTGGTGTAACATCTATAATACTAAATAGCATTACTCTATATTATTGGTTATCTTTACTGTTTTTAACGCCTAAATTAACGAAATTGGACAGTAAAGGATCTTCTGCATGGAAAATGTCATCCATGGGGTATTTTGTCAAAATGAAATGATAGGGGTATTCCGTAATAGAGGCAAATGTCATAAATGGCGAATTACCCAAAGGGTAAACCATTATTTATTAATCGTAGTTTGAAGTTGTTAAATTTTACACATTTATGTATTCTAAATATATAATTTTTTTTTTCTATGCATTCCCTTAAATGATATTTGCTGGATAAATTCATAAATTATCGTATGAAAATTAAAATTCAGCTAAGTCATTGAGAGCTTTGCTCTCTTTTCTTTCATCTATTTCTTCAAATTCTTAATACGAAATCTCGTCAATGCTTGTTCTTGCCTTTTTCCTATTTTCATAACATTTTCTTTTACTTTTCTAGTATAGTTACTAGACTCAATTCACTTAGACCTTGTCAAAATTATTACTGGTTAAATAGTTCAACTCGTGGATCATTAAATCTTCTTTTGTTATTATAAATTTTGTACAAAGTCAGATACTTTGATATATTTGAAAGACAAGTGCCCAGAAATTTGAAGTGTATCTAGTTTTTATATGGACCACGCAATGATTTTACTGTTAGTTTCAAGTACTTAGATACTGATTTTACACACTGGATATCAGATCTACACACTAAATATCGGATTTGCAGCTTAGATACTGTATATACAGAAACGGTAATAAACTTACTATACTCATTTTTTTTCGCCCCCTTACCGTACGTGCTTGAGAACAGCTATATACTCATTTTTTTCCAACATTTACCAAGACTAACAAACTATTAAGATCAACTAGCTATTCGAGCAATATGTTGAGAACCAACATTTCAATTTCCCCATAAACCTCCCATACAAAATAACAAAAGTCAAAAGATACAATTTATGTACATTGCATTTGTATGTCTCAGACTCAATCATCACGCACACTCAAAATGCCCATTAAGGCATTTAAATGATAAGTAGAAATTATTGGATACTCTCATAAGATAAAAAATATTTGAAAGCAATGTTTAGTACAAGTACTGCTCCATTAATGCAAAAACAAAATACTCACAAAGATTATAAAAGCAAGATATGGTACTGAAGTGCACAAGTTATCGACTCGTCTTACCAAACAAGCCATCGATGCTATCGACCAGAAGAAAAACTTATTGGACATTTGAATTATATCATATCATTTCTGTAGAGAATTGAGCTTATTTCTGGACTCTGGAAGTCCAATGTACAATTCAGTCTCAACATCTGAAACTTCACTATTATCTGTACATGCCACAGTTGCTTTCTCTTCGCTTGATCCTTGTTGTGGTTCAAGTCCAAACTAAACCATCAAAACCTCAAGTTAATGTCTTGAAATACTTACCAATGCAT